TGTGTGTGTGTGTGTGTGTGTGTGTGTGTGTGTGTTTTGTTGGCAACATATTAAGATTTGATATTTCAAGGGTCTCCTTCTCAGGGGCCAAAAATGGCTCAATAATGCTCCCTACAAAATGTCTACAAAACAGCCCCTGGTGGAGGTTCAACCCACATGTATGAAACTTGTTAGGCACCTGTAACACTCCAAAAAAGCCTCTTGGACCCATGCTAAACCCAACAGGAAGTCAGCCATTTTGAATTCACTGTGCAATTTTGGTGCATTTTTGCAGAATTTCGAGGGCTCACTCTTTAACGAACGTGTGGACTGTCCATGGGCAGCCCCCCCACTCTCACATCTCATCATGTAATGCATGTATAGGTCCTGTTTGTGCATGTGTGTGTGTATTTCAGGCCCGTGTGTGTTTGAGTAAAAAAAATGAATTTCACCTTGGAGATTAATAAATTAATTCTTCTCTAACATTCAGCTCAGATTTTGCAGCAGAATTTAAGTTTTCTGTGTCATGTTGCTCCTGTCAGCCATCTTAAACAAGAGACATTTACTCTCACTGTGGCTCTCCTTGAATAATAAAGGTTAAATAAAATGAAGTGTTTGTCCTGTGCTCCGGCCCCAAAGGAAGGCTGGGAAGTTTCACCTCACACTACACCAGTATCACCACGAACACCTGATCTCTGTGTGGACATTCACTGTGTAAATCTACAAACTAAGCTGCACATTGTTTCATGATGAAAGGACAAGAGATAAAACCTGTCGGTGACATATTCAGATATCATCTCTAACGCTGTTAAAGCAGACGTGATCAGGACAAGGACAACTTTATGAACACTGTTTTGTTCTGACACACTGACAGTAAAACATCAGAGGTTCCTCTTGGAGCAAACACAAGTCACAGGCGCTTTATTTGAGCAGCGACGGCCAAAAAACTAAAAACCCAGACGACACACCCACAAACTCACCACGACAACACTTTAATGTCAGTTGTGCCACTTTATTCAGTTTCTGATAACACATTTGTCCCTAAAACATGAAACACAGAGCTCTCTAACACGTGGACGTTGTAGTGTCGCCAGCTGGCAGCAGCAGGACGGTGTGGCAGCAGCATTGGCGCTGACTTTGGTCCCGGTTTGATTTTTCCCTTGACATTTTGGTCCCGTTACCATGGAAACAATGGGGTCACACAGGAGTGGGGAGTGAGATGGAGAAGAGGGAGAAGAAGTTTGTGTTGTGCAGCAGCTTCTCTGCGTCGCCTCAGGAGTACATCGTCAGCTGAAGCCACTGAGAGACAGAGAGAGAGAGAGACTCTGTTAGTGCGACCGCATTCAACAATATGTCTGCTGCAGTAAAGCGCTCCACGCTGTCAGAGCTTCACTCGTATGGATGAATGTTACTGCTGCAATAATGTGTCTGTGTCAAGTTCCTGCTTTAGATGTTTCAGGCTGTGCTCATTTTAACTTTTTAACTCATTTAAGCAGACCCACTACAACGTTAGGAAAAACAATCAAACAAGTGGCCACAGTCCAGTTTCCTGCCCAAACAGGAAAAAAGGTCCAATACTAACAAGCTGAAAGGGGGCATATCTCCAGCTATCGTAGAGGAGTCGCACATACTTGGCTCAATAAATGGATTCCCCTCCCGTGCTTGTATACTGGGACAAGGACAGTAGGCCAGTTAGATGTCCTCGTCCAGCTGGGACTGGAGCTCCACTTCACTGTGACTGGAAACACACTGAGTGTTTGTAAAGTGACGGAGTTCATGAGCTGACTGTGTCATCAGCAGGTGGAGGGGACAGTGGACGGTGTTTCACCTGCCAAGCTGCAGACCACTGTTCAACGCCAACAAACAACAAAACCTGCAGTCATCGTATTCGCAACATGTGACTCGTTGCATGCTGGGAAAGCAGCAAAAAAATCAGTTGTTTTTCACTAAGCTATCACTGTGTTTCCTGCGTGGACTGTGCTCGTCACATCTGGGTGTTTTAAGCCCAAACATGATAACCAAGCTGTGTTTGTGCCTGAGCCTAACCTCACGTTAACCACAGCGGTGCTGAAACCATCAGCTACATAATAACCTCATTCCTGGTTTGCAGAAACGTACAATGCCAAAAAAAAAATTCTGCTGATTGAGTTGCAAATGTAGGGCATTTAAAAAGTACCATATTTCCCTCCGACATGTGGTCAAGTGGAAATATTCCCGATATGTACAAGTACTTAGAGTTTGTACTGGAGTGCAGTACTTAGTCACATCCTGCTCACTCTCGTGGTGTCAGATCTCGTCCACCATCGATGTGACTGCCTGGGCTCCATGATCCAGAACACACAAGATCTGACGTGATACAAGTGTTGATGCACTGACGTGTGTGTCTTCAGTTGTTACTGTGCGGTCAAACAAACAAGCTAATAAATCAACCCAAGTGCCAGAAAAAAATTCATCATTTATTTGCTGCATCTATCTGTTATTACGTAGTGCAGCGTTTCCCAAAGCTCTCCTGGAGCACCACGTGTCCTGCATGTCTCACTTCTCTCCCTGCTCCAACACAGCTGATTGAAATCATCAGCTCGTTATGAAACCTGAAGCTGCTGTGATTAGCATGTGGTCAGGTCTAGGCACAAACACCACTTGGTTAAGGTCAGGAATCAGGTTTGGCTTGAAATACCCAGTGTTGGGAACACGAGCCTGACAGGACGTGCAGGAAGGTCTCAGGAAAAAACAAGTGCTGTTTGCAGCTCTAGCCCCGCCCACCTTTGGGAGCTGATGAGCCGCTCGACAAACAGCAATGATTCACTAACTCACAACTGGTTTTGCTGTTTGTTGGTCTGCAGCTTGGCAGATGACTCAACTGGGCAACACCTCAGACTTTAGAGACGTTGATATGATGCGTATAAACAAGTTCACGTGATTCACAGAAAGATGTGATGTCAGGATTTTCTTCTGGTGAGAGGCTGAAGGGACAGACTCACACGAGCTAAGAAGTTTTTCTGGTTTGGAAAATTATTTTGCCTACATCTGTATTTACAGCTAATACCAACCATTATTATGGAGAGTACGATCATTAGTTTAACTTCATTTAATTAGTATTTCCAGCGCCCTCTGTGCTGCGACAAATGCACAATGATCAAGTTGTCTCTTAATGTCTGAGAGTTCATCCAAAGTAAGTGAACTGCAGTGTGTTTTACCTCCTTGATGTCCAGGTCGATGTGGCCACTATGGTCCTTATCCAGGGTCTTGAAGGCTCCTGCAGAACACACACACACACACACACACACACACA